TTTCAGAGAGAGAGGGAGGTATTGAATCCAAAGACAGGCTCTAGGCTCTGAGCTAGCTGTCAGCACAGAGCCTGACATGGGGCTCGAACCCATGAACCATGAGATCATCACCTGAGCTGAAGGCAGGCGCTTTATTGACTGAGCCACCCAGGAGCCCCTGATTTCTCTTATTCTTAAAGGATGCTCTTTTGCTTTGTTCTCTCTCTTTTATCTGCTTCATTATTCTCCATAAGTTTGTCTATGTTGCTGATTCACTGCTCATCCATTCTTGCTGTTGTGGCATCCATTCAAGTTTGCACCTCAGTTATAGCATTTTTTACTTATCCCGACTAGATTTTACTTCTTTTATCTCTGTAGAAGAGATTATAATCTATTTTCCACCCCAGCTAGTATTCTTATCAGCGTGACACTATATTCTTGTTGAGACATCTTGCTTGTATCTGTGTTGGTTAAGTCCCTGGCTGACGTTTCTTTCTGCTCTTTCTTTTTGGGTGAATTCCTTCATTTTGTCATTTTGAAGGGAGAAAAGAAATTAATAAGGTAAAAAAGATTTTTTTAATTAAAAAATTGAAAACACACACACAAAGAAAAATCAAATAAATGATGCTAGATTCTAGGTGTGATTTGGTCTGGTTATTGAAAGGAGCTTGATTGATTAGAGAAAAAAGGGTGGAAATTTAACGTTAAAAAATTAAAAACAACACAAACACAAAAACTCACACACAAAGTCAAATAAATGATGCTAGATCCTAGGTGTGTTTTGGTGTGGTTATTGAAAGGACGTTGGTTAGTTAGAGAAAAATGGGGAAAAATTAAAATTTAAAAATTTAAAAATAAGACACACACATATACACAATCAAATAAATGATGCTAGATCCTAGGTATGTTTTGGTCTGGTTATTAGAAAAGAGCTTGATTGATTTCAGAATAAGGAAAAATTGAAATTAAAGATTAAAAATAACTCACACACACAGTCACACACACAGACACACACACACACACACAAAATCAAATAAGTGATGGTAGGTCCTTGGTGTGATTTAGTCTGGTTATTGAAGGGAGCTTGATTGATTAAAAAAAGGAAGGAAAAAGCAAAGAAAAGGAAAAAAGAACAAAACAAAAATAATGAAAAGCAACAAAAAATTTGAAAATTTAAGAAGATGAATTTGATGAAATAGAATAACTTCAAATGATGGAAATAAAATAGAATTTGAAAAGTCTACAAAAAGTAAAATATTTAGTTTAAAAAAGTAAATTTTCTTAATAAAAATTGAAAATAAAAATAATTTTTTATTATCTTTCTGCATTCAAGTAAAGGACTATAAATGGAAAATAAAGAAAAAAGAAAATTGAATAGATGGGAGAGTGAACAGAGTGAAATATGATTAATATTACATCATTTTCCCTTAGAAATCAAACTCTGAAGCACTTAATCGTCCATAAATTAAGCAGTTGGAGAGATTTGTGGTGTTCCTGAAGAGCGAGGTTGGCCTTGTTTGGTGGGACTTAGTGAAACGACTCTGTTCTACACTAAATGGCACTGCTTAGGTTAGCTTACTGGGGTGGATTGTTGTGACGTCTGTAGGTGTGTAGGCGCATGCATGGGCAAAGTGAAAATGGTGTCACCCAGGTATCCAGACTAGTATCAGAACTCTTTGCTCTCCCTGATGAGGAATTGCACATGTGTACTTTGTTTTTGGTTTCAATTGACTCCCACTTTTACAGTGTCCATAACCACGTGGTCAGGTTGCCAGGTGGCGCCTCATTCCTGAGTTTTATCTGAGACGTGGCTGTATTTCCCTACCCCTCACTTCTGAAGAAGTCTTTCACCCACACAGATCATCTGGGGGAAGGTCCTAGCGAGTGACGGCTGGGTGCCAGCTGCACCCATGAATGCTATTGAGACCTTGCTGTTGCCAATGTCCAGAGACTTATGGTTGGGTGCCAGCCTGTCCCAGAAAAATATTATGTGATCATGTAGCAGCAGCGTTTCCGAGATTATGAAAAATCTCACATGGCCTGAGGATCTCCCAGACTCACTCTTCTGGCAATTCGCCCTATGACCAGAGGACCACTAGGTATTTGAGCTGTGGAGATTCAGACTCTGTGCTCCCCCTGTTTATAGAGTCTTAATGGAATTTAAACCCTCTCCTTTCTCCTTTCTCTCTTTTTAGTTCAGTCCCTTCGACTGTTTCCAGCTTTTTCCACTTTCTCTCCAGCTGCTTTTTTTTTTGGGGGGGGGGGGTTGCTTTTCTCATACTCTCTACCTGTCTCCATTCTCTCTCTGCAAGCAAAAACAGCTCCCTGCCCTCCATGTCTCCTTTCTTCCCCAGTTCACCTCTCCATGCTGTGTACTTGCTGAGTTTTGTGATTCAGGTTGGGCATATTGTTGTGTTAATCCTCACCTTAGGAGCTGGGCATCTCTGCTGCCCTGGGCCCTGCTTGGGCACACTTGGCTGGAAGTACTGCCCCCACAAACCTCAGAAGGAGGCAGGTCCCTCCTGGGTACACACACTCTTATTGCTGGAGGTGTCTTCACTGTTCTTTAGGAAGCAGAGGGAGAAGCTCTGGCAGTATCTAGATTTATGGGGCTTCAGTGTGATCCCATCCAGGAATTCTGCTCTTGGGCTCTAATGTAGGGGGAGCCTGAGTCTTCATAAATATGGACCTTCAGTATGCCTCTAGACTCATTCACATCAAATCCTGCTCCAGCTAAAGCAGACCCAGAAACTCAAGTCCAAGACTAGATAGTAGATGATATTTCAGGCTTTGTTAGTCCCTTCTTTGTTGCTGATGTTTTTGCAACAAATCTTTTAAAATAGAAAACCCTCTTAGCTCCCATGCATACAAATGAATATGAATTTGTCCCAGTGGCCATAGTTTTTCAGCCCCTATGACCCCTAGACCAACAACCCAAGAGGGATAGAGAAGGGCAGGGCACTGATGATGAAAGAGGATGGGTGTTTTCCACTGAAAAGTAAGCGTCTCAGAAGAAAGCTGGTCATCATATTTCTCAAATATAAACTCTAATTTCTTCAAGCCAAAAAAAATAGATACCTAGAAAAATTTAAGAGTTTTTATTCCCATATCTTGCCTTCCTTTATCCATCATTTTTAAAAGTTTATTTATTTTTAGAGAGAGAGAATGAACAAGGGAGGGGCAGAGAGAGAGAGAGAGAGTGAGAGAGAGAGAATCCCAAGCAGGATCTGCACTGTCAGCTGTCAGTGCAGGGCTTGAACCCATAAACCATGAGATCCTGACCCAAGCTGATATCAACTGTCAGATACTTAACAGACTGAGACACCCAGGTGCCCCAACATTTGTTATTATCATTCCATATATTTGAATTCAGAGTATTCCAGCTTATATGGACTTAAGTTCACTGCAGATGGATGTTTTGAAATTCCATTAACAGCAAACCCCACACAGGTTTATTATGATTGGGATGAGGAAGGGATAGAAGACTGTTGAATGCAGGGTGGGAACGATATCCTCTTCCCCCATGGTAGGCAATGGGCTTGGTCACGTTGGGTGGGGAACCTATAGAATACAAAAGAGCAAAAGAAGGGCCCAGAAGCCCAGGACAATAGATGCTTGGAAGGACAGAAGGACCAGGCAGGCTACACTACTTTGGGAAAGGGGAGTTTCTGCCCAGGGCTCCCCCCCACCCCAACTTTTCCATGACAAAGACATTCTGATCCCAGAGCCCTGCTAGGGAAAAACTGCCTTTCTGGGAATATATTCACTAAGCCTCAGTGTTTTTCTTTTTCTAAACATGCCAGTTAGGAAGGTTTGGGGATTTGTTAGATAATCAGAAACGATCCCTGAAACCCCAAGTTGTGATGACACCGTTCGAGTGACCATTGGAATCAAGCTGCAGCCTGGAGGAGGCTCAGGCAATATGCTCCAGCTCCAGGAGTGTGCTGACTAGCAAGGGGGCTAGTCAGAGGGTGGGGACGTGAGTCCACCTAGCTCTGCTGGGTCCCAGCTACTGATTCTTAGTCATCTCATCCCTAGTTAAGTCTTCGGGAAGTGTGACCTGATCCTTCAACTTATTATGGTTTCAGGATTCCAAGCTCAGTTCCATTTCCCATTATTCTGTCTTTCTCTCTTTCTAAGTGCATGGCTCCAAATCCCTTAACTATGAATATTTACAATATCATCTTGCACAACCATGGTATGTAGAGGAGTGTGTGTGTGCGTGTGTGTGTAAATATTTAATGTATGATTAGAATAAAAGTTCTTTTAAATGTTTCCATGATAACTGAGAATATTAGATTGCCCTGGGTACATGGATAGTATCCTTCTTCATCATCATTATTTTATAGGACTGGGACCAAAGGCTTAAAATTGAATGAAGCCTGGAGCACCTGAATGGCTCAGTCAGTTAAGCCTCAGACTCTTGGTTTTAGATATGGATCATGAGGTAGAGTCCGGCTTTGGGCTCTGCTGACAGCATGGAGCCTGCTTGGGATTCTCTCAGTCTGCCCTCCCCTCCTCCCTCTCAAAATAACTAACTGGGTAACTAACTAATTAACTAACTAACTAATTAACTAACTAAAATTGAATGACACCACTACTTCTTCTTAATACTCCAAGTATTTTTTTTAAAGGGTATACCAGAATTTTGTAAGAGAGAAATCCATGAATAATCTGTAACTGAAGCTAATGGAGAATATAAGAATGGAATTTATTTTATTTTATTTTATTTTATTTTAAATTTTTTTTTTTTATTTCTAGGAGACAGAGAGAGAGACAGCGTGAGCAGGGGAGGGTCAGAGAGAGAGGGAGTCACAGACTGAAACAGGCTCCAGGCTAAGAGCTGGCAGACAACACAGAGCCAGAAGCGGGGCACGAACCCACGAACCGAGAGATCATGACCTAAGCGAAAGTCGGACGCTTAACCGACTAAGCCACCCAGGCGCCCCTGGAATTTATTTTATATTGAAAGGAAAAAGAATCTTACAATTCATAAAAGAAGAACTGCACATTTTCCCAAATGTGAACTCCAGATGCATTGTGGATATTCCTTTTATTTGCCCCGATCATACTGTGTCGACAAAGGGAGTTGCTACATGCTTGTTGTCTACATTTTTAGGTAGCTCTTAGAATGTGAGCTGGAAATGTGGTGTGAATGTTCACTGATAAAAAATGTATTTACCATTCAGTCACGCTGGTTCACTTCACCATGTATTTCCTCAGAGCAGCCTGGCACTGCACAAATACTCTACTGGATTACCTGTCATGTGGTTAATAGTTTTCATGCTTAGAAAGTATCATGATGAAAGAATGCATACAAGGCTTCCTTTGTTCCTGCACGGAGTTGATAATATTCTGTATACTATGATTTAGTGGCACTGGAATGTACTACTCCCATAAACTGTACCTTCCTGACATTCTTTTAAAATAACACATTGATCTTTGCACTCCTTGTATAAATGATTCTAGACACTTTCTTGAGACAGGTTTTAGTGGGGGAAAAAAAAAACCCAGAACATGATTACATGTGTACCTGAATAATTTGTTAATATTGACCATTTTGCTAAGAGCTTCGTTTTAAGAAGCATGAAAGATGATCCTTCTAGAGATATGATATTCAGATTTCTTTAAGTGCATGTGGTGCTGGTATTTTATTTTCTTTGATGGAGGGGAGCGAATTTGAAGATCCCCCACCTTCCTTCTAAAATTCCTATCTGAAATATAGTTTGTTTTCTGCCTACCGGCCTTGCGTTGGCCTCAGAAGTGAACTGTTTCTCTTTCTGTTTCTTGTGCTGCTCATCACTCATTTCTTTCTGGTCTTTCTCCATGTCTAGCTTGAGACAGCCTAAGTCAGGCACAGCTCACTGGTTTCCCTTCATTTTACCTTCTGTGCTTCATATATTAATACTTCCAAGAGTTGGGCCATCCTCTGTGTCTCATTGTTGATGGTGAAGGATAAAACCTGATTCCCCTTTAACATTTTCCATTGTGTTACCTTCTCCTTCTCTGCTCCACATTCACTTTCTCTTATGCTGAAGTTTCTACTCTTCTTTATTTCTCTCTATTCACAAATTTTGCATCTTGGCAGCCAGGCTATTGTGAAATAGTGATGGGGTTATATCACGGGTTTGCACGTGAGCACACTGTCATGTGGTAGGTGTCTATGCGAATGATCACGTAGTTTAATTTTAAACTCCTACCCAGGATTTGGTTGCCTTTGGATGAAGTATATCACAGTGGAATAAAATCTACTGATGTAGGAAATCTAAAGATTAGAGGAGATTTTAAGGATTCTTGATTATGAGACTCAAATATCTAAAATCTAGGAAGGGGGTCCTTGACTGACAGACTCCCTGTTGCCCTCAGATCTCCGTGAGGAAGGTAAGGGTACTCCCTGCCATCTTCTTCTGGTAGTCCTTGTCAAATTCTTCATTCTGGGCCACAGTGAAATAGCTCTTCCAGTCCCCAGGCATCCCTGAAACAGGGCAAAGTCTCAATGATTACCACAGAAGAGTACAGGGTGGAGTGAGCACACTCCCTTGGAGCCAACACAAGAATGGGAAAAAAAGGAAGTTTGCCTCTTAAAAATTATGTAGTGTCATGGACAAGAATGCATAATGGGGTAAGAAACATTTCTGGAATACTCTAAACAGATCATGGGGACCACAGAGTCCAATCTGGCATCTGAGAATATAAGTCTTACATACCTTTTCTCATAAAAGGGGAGATAGAGTGGTCCAGGAGGTTGCTAGGAAAAGTGGTGTAGTTGGCCATTGGGTTGTGCTTCATTACATTGAAGGAGGTGTGATAGATTATTTTATTCAGAATTTCCTCTGGTATTTCTTTCTCCAGGAACTTCAAAATCTTCTGAATTTCCCGTTTTGGGTCCTGGATGTAGAATAGTTATACAAAGCAAATAATTTTGAATTTTCCATTAGGGATGACATTCTGTGTGGCAAAACAGTGTTTGGGGAGGAATGAGTTAAGGGGTCGGTTCAAATATATTCAATAGACATCCCTCAGATGACGACTACATGCAAGGGTGCTGCCAAGACCCGAAGATGAGAGCTGTTCCTGCCCTCAGGAAGCTTGCCGTACCATAGGGAGATGAATGTAGACATAACTAATCAGAAAATATGTTGTCCACACAGAGAGAGACATGAGATTTGTATAAAGCAGCAATTATGTCTCCTAGTAGAGATCAGGAAAGGTTGTATAAGGGAGAAAAATGTTGCAGATGAGGCACAGTGTGACTAACTCTAGTATTTGAGGTATAAAAGATGGCAAAAAAAAAAAAAAAACGTTGTTAGTTTAATAGAAGGTCAGTAAGGGGATAAATACAAAGGGATCTCAGGTTGATGCAGATATGTGAATTCCTATGCACTGGTTCTTTGATCAAAGAGTTGCAGAAAAGGAACTATAGCTTTTGATTAGTTTTCTCAGCATTCACACAAGAAGCATTCTGTAATTCTAGGAAACTTACCCTTGGGTTCTGAGAGTGATTTTGTCCTGCCTCTCATACACAGTGACTTGAAATGGAGAAATATCCCAATATGTGAGACCAATCCTGCCAATGTTTATCTGGAGTAAATAGTTTGTGATGTGGGCCTGGTGTCTGGAAGAGGGAGAAGGAAACTCCCTGAACATTCACCGAACACAAATAGGTACTTTACATATGTGATCTTATAAATCCTTATGATAATTTCATTAGATACAAAATGAGATGATACCCATTTTGTAGGTGAACACATGGTTCATAAGTGTCAGGATTAATTCAACTATAAAAGCATGTGATATTTCCTGAGGAGGAAGGATCTTCTGGGAATTGTGAACTGAAGCAAAGAAAAATGAGAAGAGCAGAGAAGTAGTCAGAACTTTCAAGGGTAAAACTGAGTCAAGAAGAGTGTCATGGAGAGAAAGGACTTGCACTGAAGGCTCTTCTGTGGTCAAGCCCACACACAGGATCCCGACTGTGGTTTGCTGCCCTGGAGAACATGGTGGTCTGATGTGGACTGCACTACCCCTCACCTCCTTCATGTCCTCATAGAAGACGTAGAGAATACGGTGCTGGTCTTTCACATCCCACCATCCCTTCACATGGTCATACCAGGAGCCCCATAGCACTGGAGGGAACAAGAGAGAAGTGGGAGCGGGGCATCGATATCCATTTGAAACTTATAAAATGAGCCTGGATGTCTCAAATAAAAGGGAAAAAGACAAAAAAGTAAAAGACTCCGGCAGAATTCTTATTTGCAGAAGAAAGGAGCTTCTTAATATTCAGAGAGATGATAAAAAGTATTCTGGATTTCTTGGTTTTATATTTCTGCCCTGGAACTTACTAGCACATTAGAAATTGTGTAGTTGCCAGGGATCATAATCTTTCTTTCCCTTGCCTCGCTACATGGTGCCTAGATTAGTGTGACACAATGAATATTATCTCCTAGTAGGATGATTTTGATTCCTAAAAATCTATGATTACCATGTATTTGGTCACCTTTTTGCTGTAATGGTGAATTAGAGGAAGAGAGGTGCCCTGGATGCCGTTTGTTGGCCCTGCCAAATTCACTCTGCACCCTCCTTCACCCTGTGAGGTTGACCTCCAGGGACTATGGCAATGCCTCCTTTGTGCTCAGGCTCCCACGTGGGCTTTGACAGAAAAAGGTACTCACAGGCTTTTGGAAGCAAGAAGAGAATAAGGAAGGTATGTTTATTTCCCTGATGCTCTTCCTGTTGGCTCACTGTGGTACTGTTTCCCCTACTGATGGTTTCAGCTCCTGTTAAGGGGCCCTGTCTTTTTCCAGGGGTGCAATGGCTCCTGTCTGGTACTCATCCAAGAACACTGTATTTCCACTTGTTTGTTTCTTTAAAATCTGCTCAAACCTTCCTAAATAGTCTCTTAGCTAAATTCCCCCTTAAATGATCCATTTTGAATGTACCATCACATCCTCCCAGGACCTTGATGACTACAATCATTCAATGAAAACCCATCCTTTCTGAAGTCAGCAGTGAACAAGAAAACATGAATAAGGACATCTGCACCCACAATTTCATCTCACTCACCTTTTCCAGCTTTGAATGCCTCAACAAACTCCTCCCATGTACCAGGGTTAGGTATTAATTTAGCCATTCTTGAGAAATGGTAGTAGGACACCACAGTGTCCTTTGCATTTCTAGCCACATAGATAATCTGAAACCAGCCGGCAAAGGGGATTGAGATAGAGAGAAAACAAAACAGAGAAATATTATCTCTCACTGCAGAGGATCTTGTTATTGGAAGAATCTTAGACTATCCCATTTGAGCATCTGAACGTGTGTACATTTTATTTTTTCTGATCAGGATGACCACATCTTCCAGTTTGCTCAGAGTTCCAACGTACATATGTGGTCTTAGATAAAGATTATGAGCATTCCCCTTTTCTTAAAAGTATTCTGGTTTGCATGATAAATACTATGGTCACCCTAACTATGATATTACTGGAGGCTAAAGAGACCACTGTGTTTTTTTTCTATTGCATAAGGTAGGTCCTCCTTGGCTTGTACTAAGTGAGGACTCTAGGTTATTGTATGGGGGTAGCTACTGCAGTCAGCCATTTGGTCTCACCTGCACATGATGAACTGCAGCTTTATAGACTAATGATATCACTCCTACTTTTCATATGTGGTGAGATTGCAGGACCTTTGAGGGCAGTGCTACGTCTCCCTTTGGAGCTGCTTGTGATGATTCTTCAAATTGCAAAAGCAGGGGTTTGGTCTGGCCAAGGAGAGCTGACTTCTTTCCTTCGTGTCCTGTGTTTCCCTTTTTCCCATACCATCCAGATTCCCATGCTCACCTGTGCTGCTGTGTGAATTCAGCAGAGCTGGGGTGGACAAGCATATTAATGGTGACACAAGCATTTTCTTGTATCTCACTTACTGAACAGAATTTCTGTGTCCAACACAACAATTCACCCAGTAGTATTTCTCTCTCGGCCAATCTCCCCACGCTCTTCCTTTCCCAGATGCCTTTCACCCAACCCTGTCTTAGAGGAGTACAGACCCAGCATGCTTCTCTGCCTTCTTTCTTACTGGTTGATTTTTTTTCTCAGATATTTATGAAAGCATGTAGGGAACCAAAAAGTGTGACACAACTGCACCATCTTATAATGTAAATATATTTCTTAAAGCTGGATTTGGTTATTGCCTTTCTGTAAGCTTGAGTAATTGTGAAGGGGAGGTCTGGGCTAGATGGGGAGCATAGTCGGTGTGCTTGTGGCAGGAGTCAGATGACTGGGATATGACCTAATGCCCAGTATATTTTCTGAGAGTCTGCTGACCAGTCTGTGTGAATCCCCCATGGATGCGGTAACAAATTACTAGAGATGAAGTGGCTGAAACAATAAGAGATCTATTCTCTTGTGGTTCTGGAGGCTTGATTTCCCTGAGCTCAGGTCAAGCTGTTGGCCCTTTGGTGGCACCTGCGGAGAATCCCTTCACTTGCTGTTGCTAGCCCCTGAAGGCCACCTGCATTCCTTGGTTCTTGACTCAATCCCTGGCTTCACTTGTCACATCTCCTACTTCCTTTGATCTTCTTGCCTCCCTCTTATAAGAATCCTTGTGATGATACTTAGGGCCCACTTAATAATCCAGGATAACCTTTTCATCTCAAGATACCCAACTTAATCAAATCTACAAAGTTTATTTTACCGTATAAGGTAGCATTAACAGGTTCTGTTGATTAGCACATGGATATCTTTAGGGAATGGTTGTTTAGTTTACCACTGCATCATAAAATGAAAAATGTTGGGCTAAACTCTCTACTGTCACTTCCTACTCAAAGCAGCCTCAATTCCAAGCAGATAAAAAGAGGTGCTGCTATTGAGATTTTTACATTTTTAGGAGGATTGGTTTTATTGAAAAAAGTGCTAGTATGATGATTAACAAAATGTTATTGTGTCTTCCCACATTGAATCTACAATACGTGGGGGAGAAGAATGGAGGAAATAGTGGGGGAGAGGGAGAGAGGCAAACCATGAAAGGCTCTTGAATGCTGAGAACAAACTGAAGACTAATGCGTGGGAGGGGGGTGATGGGCATGGAGGAGGGCACTTCTGAGGATGAGCACTGGGTGTTATATGGAAACCAACTTGACAATAAACTATTTGTAAAAAAAAAAAAAACATTTGGAAATAATATTGCTTCTTGAGCAGAATGAGTCATATATGAATGATCTATCTGTGGGAATAAAGAAGAAAGTTTTCACAAATCAAGTTAACCTGGGAATAATCTCATGGAAGCAGATAAGGAATGGGACAGCCTATTGGTATGTGGAGTCCTATGCAATTGTAGTCAACCTTGTTTGGAGATGGGAGATGGGCAAGATGAAGAGCTGTGACTCATGGAACCCCAGAAAATACAGAGTCAAAAGCAATCACTTGCCCTGTGTATCTACAGTACCACACATAGGGGAAAGTGTCTTGGCTAAACAGACGTGACCCTTATGGTTTTCTTGGTAAGCATATAGTATAGGTCTCTAAAGTAGCTTGCTTGCAGGGAGAAGATGTGCCGGTCTGGGTGATACAAACATTTTGATTCTGCTGGATGGCTACACTTTTCACTGCAAGTTTGTAAGTTCATATTGTGCTCATATTACATATTTCATTGAATTTAAGACTCAGTGATGAAACAGATATCAAAAAGAAACACTAGTGTTTTGGTGTACATTACACATTGAACCTGAACCTGGAAGTGTCAAAATAAATGAAAATTGTTGAAAATGGAGGACATAGTGGTATAATGGCTCCTGGGAGCTTGCTCCACAAGTTATGCCGTAGGCGTGGTCAATGTAGTATCATGGTCTTATGGCTGTCCATCCTTCTTTGTGTTGCTCTACCTTTCCCTCCATAGGTTTTCCATAAATAACTCCTTTTTATGCCTTTGCTCCTGCTTCTTAGATGATTCAAACTAAGATAAAAACCTTCTTCTTGAAATATGTGCTTTGTTTCACCACTTGCTGTCTTTGGATGTGGCTTCGTTGGCAGCTAATCAGAATGATTTTTTTCTGAAAAGTTCCTAATATGTACCCAGAAATAATATTTTGAAGGAAAGTTGGATCCAGGATGGAGTATGTGGGAATGTGGGGATAAGGCTACCATCTGATCTATACCTCCATTGGTTATTTGTCTTTCAACATCTTTGATTGTTTCCACTTAGAGACAGTGTTTGTCCATATGACCAAAATTGGGCTTGAAAAGTTGGCTTTTCCTACCTTTGAATTTTCTTTCCAGAAGGAAGGTGGCAGCAACTGAACAGGCAGGTGAGTCTTCATAGTTCTGGGAGAAGGCATTTTCTGGGCCAGATCCAGACCTGGGAAAGAAGGCCACACCATTTACTTGACTATTTTTCGTCAGCCTCTTGAATTCAATATTATTGTTTTGTTAAACATCTGGAATGAGATTTACTGAATAGTTCGCTTTGCCTAAAAGTATGGTTTTACATGTCTATATGCTTCCCTCCTGATTATTTGATGAATTGGTTGTACTTGTGTGGGAAGATGAAGATGCTTTGCGAGGTCTGAGGTTGGTGATAACTATGACCCCAACAACCAGTTGGATATTTTGTCCTTTGGGGTTTTCTATTACTGCAATGAGTAGTAGATTAAAGCAGCTGGAGAAGAGCTGGTGTCCCTCTTGACATAGGTGGGCTATAGGCCAGCTCTATTAGGCCAGCAGTTCCATCAGTCTTTCTTTCAACCTCTACTTTCCAGGCCAAGAACTGCAACAGCCACTAGTCAAACACCACACTGGTCTCTGGGCTGCACTATGTTTTTAGATGAGAAATGGAGCCTTACAGTAGTCAGGTAATTTCAGTAATTTCTCCAAGGTGGTAACAATGACAGCCAGGAGTGAAAATCAGTTAGTTTTTGGTGGGCAAAGCCACTGATGGGGGGTCAGGGGAGGCGTCTTAAGAGACTTTGTGGAAAGGAGTAGAGAGGCAAGGAAAAAGTAGATAAATCACAACAAAATCCTCCCTGGAAACAATGTCCAATGCTGAGGGTTAAAATACCAAATACAGGCTGGGGTTTGATCACACATTACCAGTGTCAGGGAAAGGGTTTGCCAGTGAGGCAGAGAGGCAGCCTTGGTTGGAGAAACAGCTTCTGGTGGAAAATCAGAAGTGGGAGTAACCCCCTGGAAACCTGGCAGTGATGGGAAAAAAGGAAGTAAGATAAAGAAAATTAAAGATCCTGCTGAAACGAAAGAAACAGCAGCATACCGATTCCTCCTCCCCACCATCCACAATGCCACCTGTGAACAAAACGGCACAGTGGAGCGCAGAATGCACAGAAGAAGGTGCTTTCAAACTAGAAACTGTGGTAATAAAATGAATACAAGCAGAACAAAGCGGATCTCATGAATACAAAACTGCTATAAAAAACAGAAAAAGTATCGAGGCCTTTAACCTAATGAAAAGTCTCCCCTGAAAACCAACTACAATCCTAAATAAAACTGTAATACAATGCTCCAATCTTGACTAAATGTTGCAATCAAATGTTTGGGAAAAGGAACAAACAACTCAGAAATACAAAAATTAAGAACTGAAATAGAGAAAAACCCTCTAACAAGTAAATATAAATATAAATAAATGAAAAGTAGACAAATGAGAAAAGATGTGATGGAACTGAAAAAAGAAAAAGGGACAATAGCATAAGTGAAGATTAAAACATAAGATTGACAATGAAGGATAGGCTTGAAAGGAAATTTAATAAAGGATGTTGAAGAAAGGCAAGAAGATAACCAAGGGGTGGACAGTGAGGTAAATAAACAAGAAAAAAGGTTTGGAGAGAAAGTGTCTGAGGTGGAACACAGGCATGGCAGCTCTAACATTGGTATAAACTACAGTTCCTGAGAAAATTAAAATGGTGGAATAGAACTAGTATTTAAACTTATAATCCAAACAAACTTTCTTGAAAAGAAGACTTGAATTTGTTGAGATTTTAGCTCATCTACTCCATAATATTGTCTCCAATCTATTCTGGGTGGTCAAGCCACCTACAGGGGACTTGAGCATGCCAGCGCATGCCCCAGCTGCATAACAGTCTGCAGACACTGCCCAATGGCCCTGGGATCAACAGTCTCTGTTGCCCCCCAGGGCCTTCCCCAGGAACACTCCTTTAGAGAAGACCCCTGTGGAGCCTACCAAAACTCTGTTCCTTTTGGTTTGCACTGACCAATCTGGAATTAGCCCAGAAACAGCAAAGCTTTAGACGTCTGGACCGTAATAAGGGCATGTGCCCCAGGTCCTGTCTCTCTACCTGTATCCTGCCTTGACCTCTCATTTGGCCCCTCAAGGCATGCCCTGCGCTTTCTCCAAGACCAGGGAGTAGTCAACGGCTCTATCTCCATTCCTTGTGGTCTTTTCTTGAACTGAGGCTCAGCAGAGCACCAAATGTTAATTTAACAAAGTCACAATTAGCTTCACAAGCAGGATGGGCTGAATCAGCTTGCTTTTGATAACAAATACATTTTAGTTTCAATGGCTTACTGACTAGCTTTCTCAGATGCATAATTCCATTGGGAAGGAGCCCACTGCCTACTGGAGTTTGGTTGCACTGCTTTGCCCTACTGCATGTTGCCTTTTCAGAGAGCTGCCCCAAGTTTCCATCCCAAAAGTGCAAGCTACAAAAAAAGTAACCAGAATTCGCCCAAACCTTGAGAATATTGCAAAATCAGAGCTGGTTTGAGGAACTGTGGATTTATTTTCCACTTATTAGTGCCCAGGGGTTACCCTCAGTGACTGGTAGACTTTGAGTGTGTTTCTCAGCTCATAGAACAGACCCAGATGCTGACTGTTATGGACAACTGGCTAAGATTTTAGCGAAACCCTTTTGCCTTTAGTTAATAGAGGGTAACATGTGAGTAGCACACCCTCCCCATGTGTAGGACCAGATAAATGTGCAGTGTCCATAAGACAAGACGGAGACTCCCTGTCACTGATTGCCTGTGCTTATGGGATGCACTAGGACTATAAGTTCTAACCTGGATTATAGGGATGTCCTCACTGTGAAAGTCATGGCCTCCCAAAAAAACAAGAGTGAGTTCCACCGGGTCCACGGTCCCTCTGTCACTGCATACCTTGCTGCTGTGGCAGCTTGTCCCCTGACCCTATGGGGTATCAGAGGTCCCACTTCTGCTGTATAGTGGCACAAAATCCAATAGCGTAATACAAATGATCTGAGCACCTGCTGCCTTTATCAACTAAAACAGCTGAGGAAATTAGCAAGCTCTGTACTTAATGTAAAACACTCACAAAGGTGGTGTGGACACCACTCACTGGACACTGCTCAGTGTCATGGTGTACCAACATACAAAGGCACTGGTTCTATTCTCTAGAGACCTAGGGCCAGCTCTAATGATCCTGCCACCAGTGGTCTAGTGGAGACTTGCACTAAAGCCAACAAAGTCAATTGGGATACCCTGAGGAGGGAAGCTGCAGGTATTGGCCACTAGAGAAGTCTACCACAGATGTTTCCAGTGAGTATTTACAAAGTCAAGTCAGTGGTAGGTAATAGAGAATTAGAAGCTGAAATTTGAAACCTTACACATCTCAAAATTTAAAAATTTAAAAATATTTTAAAAGACTGTATTGAAGGAAGAAGGAAATGGGACTGACTAGGTGTTGAAAGTATTTAATACTGACTCTGAGTAATTATTACTCAACTCACAAAGATGAGTCAACTAGCCAGTATTTACAACAAGCCCCAAATGCATAACTTTTTAAAAAACCCCAAAAGCCTAAAAGCCAAATTCTGGAGAGACACAGATGACCCAACCCCCAACCCACAAGGGACCCCAGGACTAATTCAACCAGAATTCAAGCAAAAGCTGCAGCCACAGATGATCTCTATGTCCTAACTGGGATGTCTAATCACAGGGAGATCCAAACCCAAGGGCACAAGCAAAGATACGGATATAGAGGACAAATCCCATCCTCTGCTTACTTGGATCTTCATGGCTTGTTGTGGAGTCTGCCCTTTTATCACAGTTATTAATGCAAAGGTTCAAAGCCAGTGGAAGATATTTGAGGAGGCCCAACTCTTTCCCTGTATGATTGATATGGTCCAGTGGATCTGTCACTCTTTTGAATATAGCAACCCATCCAGATGACCTGGCTTTCATCTCTAATCCCGAGGAAGCCCCGACTGCCTCTGAATCTAGAGAATTCCTCTTCCAGGGAGCTCCCACCAAATGACAGGACCAAAGTTCGTTTTATGAGGAACTCCCATAATATCCCAGAGGCCATGCTGGGAATAGACATGACAGCTCTTCCTTCATGACGGAGACACTCTGTGAGATGGGGGTCCCCAGTGATCTCATATCTGGACAGTTATGGTGCGAGCTCCTCTAAAAAACTCATGTTCATCTTGCAAAAGAGCCCAATCTCAATGGCCCAGATGACTTTAGGGGATCTCAAAGCCCCCTCTGCCCCAGACAATATCACTGACTTGTGGGCCTGACAAATTCCCTGAGCATTACCCTAGAACTGAATGGCTGCTGGAGCTTCTCACCTCCTGGGGATAATTGCATAATCATGACTCTTGTAGTCCATAAGGACAAAGGCAGTATCTAGATATTCTTTTCTTTGTCAAACGCCAGAGCCCAAGTCCTAGTAATGCCAGGTAACCCTTCTAAATTTCCCAAAGAATCTCCTACAGCCTACGAGTCAGAGCTGGTAAAACCACAAAGGGAGTACAAAGAAAGCTGGGTATGGCTTTCCAAAACAGTTGCCAGTGGTGGTGGCCTCCTTGTCTCTCTCTTTCCCTATTATAGGTTTGTATGCATTTACTTCATGACATGCCTGGTAGAATAAACCCAAATTCCTGGATTTATTCATTAAAAGCTTCCAGGCAGAACCTGGCCAATTTCCTCTTCCAGGAGAAAAACTAAATACACCACACTATTGACTGAGTACACAGGACCTTAGGTCTGTCATTAGAGATATGCTTGAATTGGGGTCACTAGCCACCCTACCATCTCATACTTTAATAGCTGCCTGGTCTGCCCAGTGTGAAAACTGGCCACAAAAGAAGGGGGATTAATAATTGACTATTGGGGGGTGCCTGGGTGGCTCAGTCAGTTAAGTATTCCACTCTTGATTTCAGCTCAGGTCATGATCTCACGGTTTGTGAGACTGAGCCCCACACTGGTCTCTGTGCTGACAGTGTGGAGCCTGCTTATGATTCTCTTTCTCCCTCTATCTCTGTCCCTACCCTGTTCAGCTCTCCCTCACCTCTTTCAAAATAAGTAAACTTAAGAAAATGAAACACTTAAAAAAACACAATTGACTATCAAAACTTAAATGCACAG